TAGCTCTATTCACTGAAAACTGTGAGAATCAATTTTTTTTCTCCCCCTCCTACTCTCATTTTCCACCAACGCCTTCCAAGGAGAAGTGTCACCTATTCACGGTTTGTTTTCATTGATTCTAGAGGAATTGCACAGAAAAATTCCAATACGATGAGAGTACTGAAGCCCACTCATCACATCGTCGAAAGATATTTACAAGTAGAGTTCATATGAAATTCCATTCCTTCAAATGACAAAGAAATAGCGTTTTGAAATTTGAGTGGTTAATAAGCCTCTACGTCAAATAACTGTATATAAAGTCTCTTGAAAAGTTTTGCCTACATTTGCTCAAACTACACAGCTAACCATGCAGTGCCTACTGTTGGCTTTGCTTTTTTTGCTTCCTTCTGTAGTAGTATCGAGTATGGATACTAACAGAGGTAAGTACAGTGCAGGACTATATGACTGTATTCGCTTCAACACTCCTTCCGAATTCTCATGATGCGGCTCCTAATGTTTAACTTCAAAACACGTTGGTGAGCAAATAGTAGAAGCGGGTTGGGGGAAAGGTTTATAAAAAGAGAAAACACATTCTGAAAAATGCCTGAAGACCCTTACGCGCTTTTCCTGTTTTTCCACTAAGGGAACGATTGCAGAAAAAGCAATATCCGGAAAATTATTCCTCCGCATAAGGAAAGGAAAGTATGAAAAACTTCTTTGAGTATTATTATATTAATTTTACACTACCTAAATCTGTAAGAGGTAAATAAAATGTATATGTAGATAGATAAGTGATTATCTGATCTTGCTTATTATAGCTCTTCACACCAAAGATGAACCTCCTCTACCAGATATTCATGGTCTATCAAAAGAAATGTTTAGACAAGAGCTGCAAAAACTCGATCCTGACACGACGGTTAGCGCCGTTACTTGAATTCGAAATTTTCTAAAAGTTTCCCGAATTCGGGGAACATTACCAAGGTGAAAAAAGTATTTGTTCGAAGCAACAGAAACATTCTCATCAGAATTTGACATTTATTAACTTGGAGGTAAACTTGGGGGTTGCAGGTAAAACCGAAAACCTTGGAAGCGCGAAGGGTTTTGGCTTATGTCAAAGATGATGATGACCTCAAATCATTTGTAGATTAGGTGGGTCGTAGAGACCTTCACAAGTCATCCAAGATACCGAGCAATCGCTTGCATTTAGGTGTTTGAGGCATTGGAGAAAGCGAAGAATAGAGAACTTACCGAGAAAGAAGCTGCTCTAGAGTATGCCATACTTGTTACTTCATCCTATTTTACCATTATCATCTTATCCTTTGCAGAGTCGATAAATGGTTGTATTGTTTACCGAATGACAAACGAAACATGATGGAAACTAGATATCCTTCTCTGAAGGAGAAAAGTAAGCTCAGTGTACATTCTTCTTGTAAGCTGTGCTTTCATATCCGTTCACATGACTAATAGTTGTGCCAAGCAGGTTTTTCGATGAAAACAGTTTGAAAAAAATCGATTTAATGATCACAAAGGCTAAAATTTCAGGCTTTGTATCTTCTACCCGAACTTTGTGCCGCTCCCAATCTCGCGCACTGAAGGGAAAGTTTTAATTTATTAGTATAAGGAATCTACACGGCAAAACCTTCTCTACAAGGGCGGTGATTTCGTATTAGTTCATGGCTCGTTTTCGAAGGGACAGTGAGAGACAGTGAGAAAATAAAGAATGAACAAAATGAATATTCAACAAAAGGTTATAAGGGTGACAGTAAGTATAGAGTATCATAGAAAAGCAGTAGAAAGAGGAGGTATAGCTTCAGTTGAAGCCATGCAGAGTATAAGCAATGCACAAGGATTAGCCCCGCTGGCAGAAGCAGAGCAATCCTACAACACGGTAACTCCCTAGTAGTAACGAGGCCTGCCTCACGTGGCTCCGATTGCTTCGGCTCATCGGGTTTTCATACCTAAACGAACTTCATGCCG